TGTAAAATCAAGCCAATAGTTAATATTTATAATTAGTCTTTCAGAAGAACAAGGAGAATCTAAAATATAATTTAACTTCTCACAAACCAAACCCTCGATTCCAAAGATTTAGCTCCTATCGAAAAAGCTTTCAAGTTCAGTAAAGTTTCAGATTCACAAAAAGAAATGATTAGGCATCTTTCGTCATAATGTGGAAATTCAATAAAAACCTTTGAAACCAATCTAACTGCGAGAGGAAGAGCTACATTGCGTAAATTCATTCTAACCGGATATATTATTTCAAAGGCCGAAAAAGGTGGCCAGATAGTCGTCATGGATAGAACACTTACATCGATGGGTCACTAAACTCTTAAACGAAGGACAATAATCCTCCCTAAAGATCCTTCCCTTCGGATTGTCAAAAAAAAAAATGCGATAAATTTCCCAAATCATTTCACCAACTTAAACATTACTTATCCCATCTGTTGCGAATTGTGCCAGATTATATGCTCTTCCCAAAATTCATAAAAGGGTATTACTTTCCGCCTATTGTATCAAATTTAGGTACTGCCTCGTATCATTAGCTAAATATTTGTCTAGATTTTCAACTCTATTAGTCAATAACATTTACACCATAAAATATTCAATATAATTAGTAAAAAAGGTTAAAAACCTTTTGATGTAAAATCATTCTTCACCAATGTTCCATTGGAGGGTGCATTACGATATCTAGAAACCAGCCTTCGCGAATTTCATTTTTCTTGCATCGAAATTGATGAGCTAATTTCTGTCACTCAGCTCTGTTTGAAACAAACGCATTTTGTTTTCCAAAATAAATGTTGCAAGCAAAATGAGGGATTAGCCACGGGAAGCCCCCTCAGTCCCGTCCTGGCTGATATCTGCATGCATTATTATGAATCAAAATTGTTCGAAACTTTAAACTTCCCGGTACGGTTCCGCTACGTAGACGATACTTTTAGCCTATTTGAAGGTAATAAAGATAATTTAAAGAAAATTCTTTCAAACAATGAATTCTATTGATCCTGCTATTCAGTTCACTTGAACTGAGACTGCAATTCTCTTCCGTTCTCGAATTCTGGTCACACGTAACACATCCAAATTCAGTATACGTTTACCGTAAACTTCATCGGTTTGCCTTCCACCATTTAAATCAGTCATCACTAAACAAAAGTTAGCTTCATTTTATTCAATGTTTTCGGGCTCTTCAATTGCTCCCCAAACTCGCCTTGATGAAGACTAAAGTATTAAAAGCAAAACTATGACAGGGCTTTCACCCAACATATTAATCAAGCAGTTAAAATTCATCCAACACACTAAAAGGCAAATCTGTTGGAGTATAAATTATGTTGTCATTCCTTCTTTCCATCAATTAGCTATAAATTGCACAATTGCAGAAATTTAACTTTCGGGTGTTTATTCTCCCATCAAAAAATCCGAGTTCCATATCAAGGACCCCATTCCGGATATGAATTCTGGGGTATTTATAGGATTCCTTGCCAGTGTGGTTTAATTTACATTGGCCAAAATAAGAGAGCCTTAAATTTCGCGTCAAGGAACATGAGGCAGATTTTAGAAAAAAGGAAACACAGAAGTCTTCTGTTGCTCAATTGTGGTCCGAAAACCACACTTTCAGTTTTTTGCTGCCAAATTTTCAAAAAAAAATTCATTGGAGAACTGGATTTTCTAGAGGCATTTCAAATTCATAAAAATCTTCTTTCTAATTAACGATCTAATTCCAATCCAAATTGCCTTCGGCCTTTAAAAATTATGTTTTAGTTTGGTTTACAACAGATGGCGCACTTGCTTATTCTGTCCAGGCTTCTTATCTCATCATTATTTCCATCTTGTCATTTGCGGTTTGCAGCTGGGATGGTGGTTCGGTAAAAACCATCGAAACTAGTCCCGTGAAACTTTGGAAATTATAACGCTGATTTCTGAATTAGTATTTATTTGGCGTGTTATTGTGTCTTAATTAACTTGGTAGTCTCAATGTCATCATTTTCAGGTAGTCTATATTTTGGGGTACCCTTTGGATTATAATCAAGCTGTTGTTTCACCTTACGGTTAACTGAGTATTTTGTCAACCGTATCATGACATGACTGCTTGGACCCTATTGTGATGTGATTGGTTGTAATGCATGATCACACAGATTTTGTTTGTTGGAAGAATATTTCTCAGGCTTATTTCTGCATTGGATATCGGTTAGGAAGTACGCTGCTGTAAAATGGTTGCTTGTGATGAGATTAACCTGAAGTTTCTGTAGAATTCAGAATTAATGGGAAGGAAAGTATTGATCGACAAGTGTGTAAATAAAGGTTTAATCAGTAATCGGTATAAATATACTGTTTGTACAAAAGATATGCATATGATCAAACATAAAGATTGTTCACATGGCTTTCAATGGGTTTGTCATGAGAAAGGTTCAAATGCTATCTATAAAGTGTTCCGATAGAAAGATCATGGTTTGAGGAGAGTCATTAGGGTATTATTGAGATTTTAATTTTTATGTGGATGTGGGTTTGTGAGGCTAATACTAATATGACTGAATTAAATAATAACAATGGTAAGGTTATAACTGATTGAAAGAACTTTTGTATGGATGTGCGTGTTGATATATGTATTTGTAAAGGTGTAGGGGTTCCAACGTCATTGTTGTAATAGACAAGAGTAAATTTGGTAAAAGGAAATATAATAGAGGTAAACGAGTAGAAGGAAACTGGGTGTTTGTTGATATAGAATGTGACAACAGGCGCCTTTTTGAAGCGGTTGAGGACAGAAGAAAAGAAATTTTGTTGGATGTAATTCAACGGAATATCTTACCTGGAACAACGATCATATCTGATTGCTGGAAATCGTACAAGTGTCTTTCTGATAATGGCTTCGCTCACCTCTCAGTAAATCATCTAGCGACATTTAAGGATCTGGAAAGCGGAGCTCATATCAATACTATCAAAGGTATGTGGGTGTAATAAAAAGGGATTTTTGAAAGAAATGCCACTGACAATCCAGCACTATGGAAGGCACTTTTGATTCTTACTTTTGTGAAATTATGTGGCAATGGCAGTAAACAGAATCTAGTTAATTTAATTTTAAAGTTTTTGGATGCTGTTAAGGAATTTGATGAAAATGTTGTTTAGCCCACTGGTTGGTAAGATTTCAAAATTCGCCAATTTTGGCACGTTGTTTTTTCATACAATTTTATGCTAAATTACAAACTATAAAATTGAATAAACAGATACCTACTGGTTTTTTTGATGTTTTTATGATCAATCCAGGAACATTTTCAAAAATAGATTTTAAAACAGATGATTTCCCAACATTACTTCTTCCAATAAAGACAACCTAAAAAAAATTAAGCTTTAGTTCTTTTCATAATGTGCACAAAATAACTGAAAAGTCTGAAAATTCCCAAATCTTTTATTACATAAAAGATAAAAGAAAACCATTCAAAATAAGAATTATTTGACATTACATGAGGAGACTCAACTAAGAATGGATAATATGAATGTTAAGTGAAGACACACATAATGACAATTTTTTTACTCATATAGTCAGGTCTTCATATGATGAACGAGCTCTACTCTTATATGCGCCCTAATATCACCAAATGTGGTAATATGTGTTCTGCACTGGATTTGCGTGAGGTGTGTGATGGCAACATGGGACATTGAAAATCTTTGGTGGAGTTCTTAATTGCTCGTGGTTGTAGGCGTGTTTTGAATGCCTATGTTGCATGAAACGCGGTAGCAAGATTTCGTCGCGTTTTTCGATGTGTGGAAATAAATTTGCATTAACGGTACGATGTTGAGGTGTCATGAGTCTTTTTCAGGGGATTATTAGGATGAAGGTATTTTTGGAATTTCTGTGGGACTTTTAAAACGGAGTCCGAAATGCAGAGCTGCAATGAGAACTCGGATGAAGAAAGGCATTTCTGATAGTTCTTGTGTGGATTGGCAGTCAAATGGTTGCTGATAAAGTTTGTGGCTGTCAGCAGAGTTTAAGATTTGGATTGTGGTTTTCATGTAGTATGTTAACTCTGGAGGAAGTTTTTATCGTCACTTTTCAAAATTTTGAATCTCAGAAACACATGCGATATAGCAAAATCGTGGCACTTTTGTTCAGAGACATTATGTGATTGATGAAATTTTATTCAGGAATGTATTATGGTAAGTGCATTTTATTTTTGTTTTTTTGTAGAAGTTAGTCATTGTTTTTTAGTAGAATTTGTTGTTATGTTTTTTAATGTTAATTAGTAGTTATTGGTGATTTGTGCGCAATGCCTAGATGTGAACTCTTAGAATTTTTTTTTTTTAAAGTTAAAAGAATGTGTGTACTGGATTATTTGAATTTTATGTGTTATTTATTATTGAAGCAAGGTGTGTAGTTGTACATCCTTCTGCGAGAAGTGCAATTGTAGATGTTTTTCCAAGTAAAACATATTGTGTAATGGATTATGTCAAATATTTTTGGTTAGAAACTGTAGTTTTTGCTATCTAAATTTTTGGTTTGGGATTTTTAGATAAATATGTCTTCAAAGTGTTTCGCGGGAGGAGAATTTAAGCGAAAATTCGAAATGTAGACAAAAATTAGGTAGAATATGGCGTGAGAAATTTGGCAACCTGAGGGCAATATAAGAGAGTTCCGATGACGTATAGCTGGATGGTTGATCTTTACATTGGTAATTGGCATTTTTGGCGAAAAATTTGGAACCCAACTCTCCTACAGCAACCCTCTATTTTTTTTCCCGCCGCAGTCTTCACGAAAAACGACATGTTTTTTTTTTATCTACTGAACACTTCTTCAACAATCTACTATCCGAATTACACTATGCTAGAAATTTTATCAACAAAATGCTTAATCATGACAAATAGTCACTGCAAAATTGGAAAACTGACAATACCATACTCTTACGCGTTTTTCAAAATAACACATAAACATAAACCATGTACAGGGGACTTATTTTACTAAAAAAAAATCCAAATTGCACAAAAATGCATGCGCAACTCTTCACTATATCCATGTACACTGCTTTTTTCTCAAATTAAAAAATTTCACGAAAATACGTGACAATTTTAATCTTTAACCCGGGTAAAAAGAACATATATGAAATTACTGAACGTGAAAAAAGTATTTATCCTTTACAAATATGAACATTTCCACATATAAACTAAAAAAATATCCAAAACTTTTACCTCTAAATCATCTATTACATATACACGTACCAACGAATTCATACCGCAAGTATTACAAATACTTAGTATAAATATTAAATTATTCCATGCACGTTTATTTCAACTTAAATATACCAATTCCTACAAACATAAAATTCACAAAAACTATATTTCATTAAATATAATTAATTCAAAACACTACTTAAAATATAAATGAGTACATACATTAATTAATAAAAATTACCTTACAATCCTAATTCTTTAAACTAAATCTTGCTAATAACAATTTTCCCATAATACCATCTTCCACCTTACATTGAGAACAATGCAAAAAATAATATCCCAAATAATTAAAAATACTAACTTCCTATCTTCTTCAGAATTGATTACGTGGCGGATACACTTTTCGATTCATTCAATAAAATTATTGAAGATTTTTTCTGCGAATTTTTCCTCCATACTTCCTCCGCTAATAAAAAGCAAACTTCTCTTATCACAATGCCTAATACCCATTTCGAATTCACTTTACATAGGGCCATGGGATCCAAAAATTAATCAACACTGTTTCACACAACACACTATGAAGCTAAATACAAAATGCTAAACGCAATAAAAATTTCCCCCCTTGTCCGATTAAAGACCGTAATTCGTCCATTAATCACATGACATTCCCATGATCTCATTTCCCTCACGCAAAATAATGCGTAATCGGAACTGAGTACGCTCACATTATTACCAAAGTCCCAGGTAGTAACCTTTATCGCCTCCAAAATGTCGCCAAACTACCAGTTACCATATTGTAAAGATCAACCGCTTTATGAATTCATTTAACATTTTTTTGGGCGAAATGCTGACCAAAGCATTAATTTCTATAACAAAATTAATTCCAAATACACTGATGGACAAAATTAAAGAAATACCAATAAAAATGCATGTAACTTGAATGATTTTGCAGCTAAGATCATCAAATTAGCTCAAGATCTTTATATTTTGTCACCAGATTTATTTTATCCCCAACCACACTTCTAATTTACTTTGTTCTTCGGTGCAAATAATCATCTTAGATAGTTAATGCTCAGTACAAGTGCTTGCTTCTTACTCTTGAAAACAGTGGTCAGTTTTGGAAATGGATACCTTAGAAGTAAGTCTACATGTAAACTCATCCCATCATTAGAAATTTCCAGTTTTAGAAATTCTCTTATGGAGAACTGTTTGTAAAACATTAGCTATGTCACATTTTCTCCCAGAATGGTAAACTTAAATCTGGGTATATTGCAAAATTATTTTTTATTCACTAAAGTCTTTAATGGCTCCATTTTTTTTGGTAGTTTATCAGCTTTTGGAAGCTCTTTCAGTACAAGGTAAATTTTATTTAACAACATCCTTCAATGAACAGACTCTCATTAAATTATCTTTTCTGACAAATTTTGCAATTGTTTGCTTACATACAACATACTTAGAACAGTTGTTTACATCATGAAATATATATTTATGTCTAATGAATGAGACAAAGAAAATAATGATTACAGAAACTGGAGATGATAGAATTTTAGGCTCAATGACATTATGTATTTTTATGTCAATGCTTGAGTCCATTTAAGATCTTACAGGCATATCAATATGATTTTCTATATAAAAGCCTCCAAAACATCCAGCTTAACACATATACTGAATCCTCAAATTGTAAATCCTAACTCTGCTCACATATAAAGACGTAAACTTTGGTTTATTAACACATAAACTACAATTTTACATTTATTATTCATTTTTGACACAAAAACCTGATTCTGCTTCTTTTACTACGTCTTAATTGCAAATAATTAGCTTCTAGCATATCTACATAAATGCATTTTATGTCTGTGCTGTTTTTGCATACAGATTCCTCAATATTAAAGACATCCTAACATTAAAAGTCTACATACATATATTATGATTTTTATGTAACATAGAGACAGGAAGGAATTCTACTATTCATTACAAGGACACACACAGTGAAAACGTTCACAACGAAATTAACATCTGTTTCTCACTTACCTCAGGTAAATCATGTTGCGGGAATTTCAGTGGATCAATTGTAGCAGTAATAAATTTAATTTCATGGCCAACTTTAGGAACAAATAAATTTTGAGCTATTTGCATAGATTTCAAAGTTGGACGGAATAATAATTCCGCTTCCGTAAAAACTGGAATTTCAAGATAGTCTCCCAAACATAAGAATGGATTTTTATACATGATATCATTAGTACGAGATATACAGCTTGAAAACCTGACTGTAGTACGTAAATATCGACTCATTTTGATAGCATTTAAACTAGAACTAGCAAAGAGAATATACCGACTCATTATGATATTGGAAATAATATGCTACTTCTGAACAGATTGATCATTCTCCCCGCAACCTTTCTGCGTGTAGATAGTGTTCGCTTAGTGCTCTGAGCCCAAAGAATATGTATTTATTGAGTTCTTAATTTAATTTCTCTCTTCTTCATAATTCTCATATATTATAACACGTTCTTTGCCGAGCCTTTGCTTTTAGCGCACATTGTTTCACGATGCGTTGAAATGGAACGTACGTCTCCGTTTTAATCCGAAATCCTCCAATTCTGCAACGCTATTGGCTCCTTAGAAATTCAGAGAATTTGCTTGGATTACCATATTTAGCTTTTTATCACTTACTTGGCAAATAAAAAAATCCAAACCAAATTAATCGTCTTGCTCAATACAGAAATTCTTTGGCTAATTCTTTGGCTCAATATTGGTATAATAATCAAAATCATAAAAACAACCTTGTATTTAGCGTAATAGAAACAACAAGGTGACGATGATAAGATAATTTTGAACTGCAGTGATATAAACGTAACTTACAAAGCATAAAAAAGATAATAAATAAAATGAAGTGAACGTAAATTAAGTTTTAAGCAAGCAAATGACGAAAAATTGCATTGAAACGCAATTAATTTTCAAAAATCTTATTGTTAAAAAAAAAAAAAATTCAAATTTAACATAAAATAACGTGTTTTTTTTTTTTTTTTTTTTTTTTTTTTTTTTTTTTAAGAAGTACATGTAGTAAAATATTCAAGTAGAATCTCATTTATCCAAATTATTGGGACAAAACCAATTCAGATAAAACATTTTTCCAAATCAACTATTATTAATATTATTTTCATAAAAATAAATATGGAAATAAATTATTGAACATGCTACTTTTGAATTTACTGACATTTCGAGTACATTTTTCGCAAATAAAATTTCAAATTTTTAATTTCTAAGCGCTTTACATTATCTTTCATAGCAGTGTAGGAAATTTTAATTATTCTAATTTCAATTATTTTTTAATTTATGAAAACAAAATGCCACATATATGATGAACAAAATTAAGTTAAGAGTGCTCAATTAAAATACATTAATACTTAAAAAAGAGTGCATTTTATAAAGGTCATTAAAAATAATTAATAAATAATTAATAAAAGTCATAAAAAATTTTCAATGACCAAGTTCTGAAATCCTCTTCTTAACATATTGTTAACAGATACCTGAGAAGTACAACAAAAACTCCAAATAATAAACTGGTTTCACTTAATGAATTTTAACAATTAAAGGGGGTCATTGAATAACTGTATCAACTTGCAAATTACCACAATTATTAAAACAATGTTTTTTTTTTTTTTTTTTTTTTGTTTGTTTTGTTTACACAATCATCTATAACAGAAAAAGTAATGTCTGTTTTATGACTCAAAATATATTTTCTAATTTGCTGCTACACTTTATTCAATTTACATTTTCAAAATTTTCAGAATGCAAATCATATGTAGTTCAACATCGTCTATAGTACATTTAATAGCTCTTGAAAAACTGTTTGCTTCTATACTTATTAATCCTGAATATACACTAATTTAAGAGCCTTGTTAAAAATACTCAGGAATTTGAATAATTTTTCTTAAGCTGCCATATTATCCACTTAATTAAATGTCACTTAAAAAATCTGTCATAATTTAAGTCATTTTTCAGAAATTACATATAATTTAACACTAATTATGTTTCAACAGTAAATATGAGAAAGAAATTATTACACATATTAACAGGTGCACAGTATTACCTCCCCTCTCCAAAAAAAGTTTTAGCAGGACATATATAATCTTATATTCTTCTTTATAAAATTTGAACATTTTTGCAATAATAATTTTAATGCAAGAAGCTGGTTTTTAATCTCTTACGAATCTCTGTTTCAAGTGCTTCAAGAAATTCAGTACCAGCTAGGAGACTGGAAAATTAATTTACATTACTAAAATTTTACATTAAAATCTTTTGGTAGTACTTCTTAAGAATATGCTTTTCAGCAGACATCTTTAAACGTCTTCCTTTTTTTATCGTACTGTCTGTTGAATTCCATTCACAGCATTTTAAATAAATAATAAGGTCCCCTTTCCAAAAAATACCTATATTTAACCTCAGAGAATTAAACGATTAAGTACATGAGAGCATATTTATATCATATATTTTATTTGATAAATTTTATTATCCCCCCAACCATTTTTTCTGCAGTAACCTTAAAATGTGTTTACAGAGGGAAAAGTGGCCATCTCTTAATTTCTATATGAATTCCCAGTAAATGTATTTAGATGTACAAAGCAGGATGTAATGCTATTAATATTTCCAGTGGAAACAGTACCTTTATATTAGCATAGGTGCTTCAATAGATACACAAATGTGCATAGAAGCAATTTTTTTTATTTAAATATAATTCTCTACCACTACGTGTAATTAACAGTGATGGGGTATATTCAGAGATGGGATACAAAAAATTTATAAACATACATAACACATATGAAGTTACAAGATAAGAATATTTTAAGAACTAATTTGCTTCTTAAATAAATGATAAAATTAGCTACAAAGTAATTAAAAATATCCCGATGAATTATTACAATTCAATTTTGAACCATTTTTTTAACATTACTCTGCTACAGCAAACTGGTCGAGTCCCAACATTGTGTACATAATATTATCAACACTTTTTATTAATTGCATCAATGCTAAAAAGTGTTCATAAAGTTATTAGTTAAATATGTTTAATGCATTATACATTTGTAATTAAGAAATTTTATTAAAAATAAGATAATAACATAACTATTACATATATTACTTTACATTTGTTCAATTATTACTTTTTAGATGGTCAGTTACAGTCATGATTTTAAATATAAATATTTATATCACGTCAAATGGTATTTCCAGAACTAGATTATATATACATGATTGCATTTATGGAAATTGAAAAATGATGGAAAAATTAAGTCTCCTCTTGTGGAAAAATTTTTCTTTAATATGGTGTAAGGTCACCTCCCACAGATATGCATACCTCACAGCTTGATTTCATAGACTTTTCGCAAGTGTTCATCAAGACTTGTGGAACTGCATGCCACTCTTCTGAAAGTGCACTTTTCAGATAACTGAAATTATATCTTAAAGCATCCCACACATGCAAGTAAATTCTAACGAAACAGATGTGCTCGTTTCCTGCTGCATAACAAATTAAATGTTGCTGTAATAATTGATACTGCTGAATATAAAGCATCTTCAACATGTTTCAACATCGAATTTGGTTTTAATTAGCGTTAAGAATAATTTGGGGAAAGCAGCATGTTGTGATTTTTAATACTAGTGGTAAGTTTCAGGGATAAATGTCGATAATATAAAATAAAATTAATATCTCATTCTCATTCTAACATGTGGAGCTGTTATATAGCTGTTATATTATTTTTTTTATAAAAACATGTAGAGCTGAATGAGACGAGAACATTTAATGCCACTTCAGAAGAAGTGAGAAATTTAGTTCTAACTCCAATCCAGAATTCATCAAGGATTTTTGTGAAAACTCAAGTTTTACAAAGATAATAAATAGCTTTACAGTCTTTTTGCACTTTATAGAACAGGTAATTAATGTCATTATGTCTTTAAAAGTCTAATCTCATTAATTTAATTCTTTAAAAGTCTTCTGAATGCAGTTTCTTTAATTCAACTATTCAAATTGAATTTGCAACCCCAAAATTTTGATTTGAAACCTCATTTGTGGTCATGACCATAGTTTAAGAAACTTTGATCCAGACAATCAATATTGTTTACTTCAAAAATATCCTATAGATTAAAGCATAAAATACTGTATAAACCCATGTGTAAGTCGATCCCCTGGCTTTTGAAAAGAATTTTCGGAGAAACAAATTTGTCGCATTAGCGGCCGCCGCTGATAAAACAGCATGCCTTTGTACTTGATAAAATTACTCACACTTTAGCGAATTTTTGTTTATTTCCATTTTAGCACATGATAAAATTTTTAAATATGTACAAAATTTTCAAAGAATTTCATTCCAATCCTTAAGTCAGAATCTGCAAATAAATCATGAAATTCTTTTTCAGTCATTAGCGCTTCATCATAAATTTCACCACTCGATTCATTACAGCTAGTGTTATCATCACTTCGTAAACTGAAAACAAAATCGAAACAAATTTAATAAAAAAAACTAAGAGATAAAATGGAAAGAATAAATAAAAATTTTGTGTTTTTTCCATATGAATGATATATTTAATAATCAATTTCACCAACGTGTCATTGATCGACAGATCATTTTTATTTTTAGGTTCCACATATAAGTCGAACCCATTCTTCAAAGTTTGATTTTTTTTCTTAAGATTGTCGACTTGCACATGAATATATACGGTATATGGAATCCTGAATTTGTAAACTTTCAAGTTCTTTAATGAAGTTTTTTTCATAAATGGACGGTGATCAAAGAGCAAGTCTCTTAACTGCATTTCTAGTTCAAAGCGATTTGATCTAGAAACATTCAGGACAGAAATAACACCTCTGATTCTATTGTCTCCAGGTAATAAAGACGTAAGAAATTGTTAACAATACTTTGCTGGAGATTAAAAATCGATGACTTATAAAGTGGAAAAGATCTTTACACATGGCAATACAGTTGAAAGTAAACCTTAACGGAAAATTGTCATAAATAATAATTGCTAAAATACATGCACAAAGTTAAGCTAGTTGAAATATGGGTAAATAAAGTAATTGCATTAATACAAGAAAATTTTTAATTTCAATACATTAACTTGGATAGCAAACTTATCAATGTTTTATAATTTTCATTTAAAAAAATTGTTCTCTAAATGTCCTAAAAGCACTCATTTCCAGAAGGCTATTTAAAAACAGACAATCTCAGAAACAAGCGCCATTGGGTACAGGTCCAATTATAAAATCAAATCAATATATTTGCTCTTATGTGAATAATTTTTAAACATAAAATATCACTATTTATAAATCACCTCCATATGAACGATCAAAATCCGAATGAATATTGACAGCTTCACAATCAGAAGACTGGAGGCCATTCAATTATCAATTGCTTTTCTGTACATCAGTAGGTTTTGTGCTATTTGATACAGGTTTCTGTAATTTAACTTTTTTGTTTGGTGGTTTTTCTTGTTTTGAAAGACATAAACACACTTACTTGTAATAGAATTAAAAAATAATCTGACTGCACTGTAATAAATTGTATTTGTTACACAAAATGCAGCAGAACATCCAGAATGCATCCTATTCATTCTTCAAATATAGTGATGAAATAAGTTTAAAAATTATGCATATTTCTATTTCAAGACAAGTAAATTTTGTCTCTTCCAAGATACCGGCATGTACATTCCACTGATAATGAAATTACAACGAGATCAAAATAATTTATCAGAAAAAAAAGAGAATATTTCTTTTCCAGATGATAGCATTACGCATAGATGATGGTAGAAATAAATTAAAAATTTTGGATGCAATCAATGGATTCTTTCTATACGGAATCCACGTGGAAAATACGATTTTGCACAAAGTTTTTTCTATAAACGTTAAGCACAATCACTGTACATTGCAATCAGTACGCTATTTCATTATTATAATTATTTTTCATGTTTGACTAAATCTTATTTCCTTAATCCAGTGTTGCAAATTGTTTTAAGAAAATATAAACTACAGATTTTCTTACCTTCGAAGTTGGAAAATGGAAGTTCATCACATTCAAGTACAATATCGTGCATATCCCCAATATGCTCCCTTAATTGTAGATTAGGTTAATGAATTTCTGCTCTAAAATGGACCAATTAAACTACCTCCTACTGATTCAGGACATACATCATGCACATAATGTAGGCGAAATAAATTAAAACGAAATTGAAAATATCTTCTCGCAAATTTCCTTTTTAAGAATAATCTATCCAGAATGAAATAACGGAATCCAGATGAATAACTTTGTACACAATGCTAGAATATTATGCAAAAAGTACAACTTGTCAAAACACTTAGGCCAAAGAATATGTATTGACATAGACTTTCTTTGCTTAGGCGGTGGTAAAATTCTGCTACACAAATTCGCCAAGAAGTTTTCGCCAATTCATACGACAACCCGAGAGGATTTCGTTCAGAATTGAGACCCTCCTCAGCTTTGGACATAGCCATGTATTAAGTACGAGTTAAGTAGATATCATCAAGGCAAGTCGAAAGTGAAAAATGGACAAATATGAATTGTTTTTGTCTTGTAGGAAAGGCGATGTTCGTCGTTTACGGTACGGTATTTCATACTTAAATCACTTTTTTTTTTTTTTAAGTGAGCAGATTTTATGCAGTGTATAAATAAATTCATGTAATGGCTTGTGGACCACAGTTTGGCAATTATTTGGCTATTTACGTGATGTCCCTTGGCAAGGTTTTTTTTTAATCATGTTTTTCAGATTGCTTCTCGGTTTTAAGCGCAAGTCGTGGTAATAATGTATCTATTTTATCTTCAAAAGGTGACGCTTCTAAATTTTAAGGTAAAATCCTAATCTAGCGGCCCCGGCTTAATCCTAGTATCCGGTGCACACGGGATTTGACTACTTTTGGCGATTAGAGGCGGAACCGGGCATCGGCGAGAGTGGGTCTCAAAGCGTATATATTCGCAAGTAATACATGTGTGATAGAACGGGATAAGTAAATAAGACGAAAGTGGGGGGGTAATTTTTGGTGTTGGCGAAAGGCAACCCCAACCAACCGATTAAGGAACCCCCCGGGCCCCGGAAAACAAGGGAAGGGCACAAAAAACCAGCCTGAGCCTGATAGGGGAAAACTGAGGGCCAGGGGGGGGGGGTAAAAAGAAGCAAAAGAATGAGCAGGACAAGAACACCAAACCTGGGCGTCTCTGGGGGGGAAGGAAAAGAGGAGGACAGGCCGGAAAAATATATTTAGGCGTACTCCTGGCAAAGGCCGATTTCGCACAGGATACTAGGGCAGGCGGACTTGGGAGGGCCTGGAGCGCATGGAATTGCAACCCGGTCCACGTGCACATCGATAGGGCACTGAAAAAAATCGAGAACTGCCAACGGGCAGGCACACTTCCTTGACTTTCCAGGACACATCAACCTATTTCACTTAAAAAAACATCAGAAATTCACAACCGGCATTAGTTCTTTCGGACTTGTCATGACACATCACTTAGCAGAAAAAGCAAAGAGCAGCAACAAAATGATAATCTCAATAAACCACATTTTAAATCACACAATGAAATAACATAAAAAAGGAAATACAAGATATTGCATATACACACTACAAAAAGGAAATAACCAACTTAACCATATTTATAAATTTCTGTGTCTTCAGTCTGTGGCATAAAAAATTCCTTAATAGCATCCAAAAACTTCTTAAAATTATCTGAACTAGAATCTGTACACTGGAATTGCCACATAAATTCACAAAAATAAGAGTAAAAAGTATGCTCCGTAGCGCTGTTATCGTCTGATGTTTGATCATATGCAATTTTTTCCTACAAACAGAACACTTAATAATGGCTACTAAGTAAACCTACACCACCAGTCAATAATGCTATTTGCCCTTTCTTCCAAATTACAGAAAACTTCAAATTAATCTTACCTCTTTTCATCGTCAAAACCGCAAAACCAGCAATGTACTTCTTAACCAACACACACCACAAGCTCTTACAAATCTTTTCCTGTAATTCAAAATTTAGTGCAATAATACAACCGATTATGTCATAATAGGGTTTCCATACTATCAACTATTCAGTTACCATAAATGACAGGTAATTTGGATTATGGTAACTTGGGATTTTTTGGCGGAATTTGGCGACCAACCCTGCTACAGCAACCTGTTAGTTTTTGTTTGGACGCCTTTTGTCTTCACGAAGTAAAGGCATTTTTTTTTTTTCATCACATTTTTTTCCAAAATCGCTAGCCGAATACGCTATGCTAGAACTTTTCTGGAACAAATTGCTAATCATGACGAAATTAGGTGCGAATTGGGAGAAAGGAAGAATCGCAAACTGCTTGCCGTTTTTAGAATTGCACATACACGGTATCATGTACACGTCGACCTATTTCACTTAAAAAAATTCCAGATTGCACAAAATGGCATTGCGCACACTCTTGACTTTATCCATGTACTCTGCTAAAGTCCTAGCTAGTAACCTTTATCGCCAAAATGTCGCCAAACTACCTGTTATCATATTCCAAAGATGAGCCATGAAACAACTTGGCAATAAAGGAACAACAACTTCATGATAATAAAAGGGGCACTCTTCAATTTACTCTAATCCACGAACACCGAGTTTGTGCAATTCTTTGACTTCTTATTTTGGTTTTGTATAGCAGCCATCTTGAAATTGTGCCTTCCTGGCTCTGATCTTGGCGTCAAAAAAGAATCGCCAAAACAACAAGGGGCTAGCAATTGTAAGCTTTTACCAATGAAATCCTAGTATACGGTGCGGCCAAATAATGTAGAGCGAAGCGAATGACAAAACAGTCAATGGAATAAAAGTCAAAAACGTTCAACTATAAACAAATATTTATTAATACAGTCAAAAGTCTTTAATCGGACAAAGCTACAAACTTTCTGCGCATGCGTAAACGCATAATATGTTTACACAATATGCACATAATACCTTTACGCATAATTTATGCACATAATATCTTTACGCATGCGCATTTAATGTATAACGGACGGTATAAGCTAAGCTAAAATTATCTAATTTTCTATTTCAGTTAATGTTGCAGATTGCGTTGTTCCTTAATCTTCTAATTGGCTCCGGCTTATTATTTTTTGCGGACTCTTAGAGCAATTTTATAAAAGTAAACTTGAATTTTCGATTATGTCAAAGAGAATTTCCGATTCTGGAGCTGCCAAAGGATCTACAAAGCGAAAGCATGTTTCAATGTCCATTAAACAAAAAGTGGAATTGCTGCAAAAAATGGATAAAGGCATATCTTTTGTTTCTCTAACTATTCCGAAATCTGTTTATCAATTTCACGCTGCTCTGTGGGGGGGGGGGAATGTCGCTGCGCGTGATGAACTGAAAGTTGATCTGTCGGCACTATCCTTATCTTCAGGGCAGATGTTTTTATTTTATTCGGCTTATAATTCCTTAGTAAATGTAGTATTTCATCTCGATGTACTCCGTGTTTGATATGATTTAAATCAAATTCTTCGTCATTATAAATATCACAAATACACGTCAAATAGTTTTCTGGTTGCAATTTTCTAATTTCGACTATGTATGCTTAATGTATGCTTTACGTATGCGCGCATTGAAAGAAATGTTTAATAAAATAAACAAATAAATATTAAGCTTTTTTTTTTTTTTTTTTTTTTTTTGTAAATTTTTATGCCCTTTAGATCATAATTGCTCTTTATTTCATAAATTACAATTTCATATTTTTAATTTTATAATTTCTGCATGCCATCATACCAGATTTAAATTGATGATCTATAATCCGGAAGAACCGATAATCTGAAATCGCCGAAGTCCTGACAAGTCCAGATTAAAGACTTTTCACTGTAGTAAGCAAAACAAATTTAACTATAAACAAATATTAATGAATTGTAAACAAAACAGTTTTACCCAAAAAGAATGCTTATAATTATTGGTTTTTCCAGAATATGGTCCTGGAGAATTTGCTCAAATGGATCCTTGTCTTCACATAAATTCAGTGAGGTACAACTCAAAATGATGTCGAGAAATTCCCCGATGTTTTTTATTTCTCCATTTGGCGCTGCCCAAAAGTCTCTCGATTTTCTGAGTGTTTACACCAGTGTCGGGATCAACAAAATTGTACCTGTGATTGACTTTGAAATGTTGTAGACCAGCTTCTTCCAATTTAGTTGTGCTGCAGCCCTTCCAGGAATTGGAATAGATGATTGACCCTTCTTTGATGTGATTTGTTATCACATCTAATAGTACTGGTAAAGAACAGTTTGGAACTTTAACTTGAAAGCATTCGTCTGTTTCATGGCAAACGCCACCAAATGTACTCTGTTGTGGAAGAATCCGACCAACATTGTTCTTTTGTTTTGTAAATAAGCTCTCATCTATTTGAACTATTTTTTCTGAACCACCAATTTTTTTTTTTTTTTTTGCTCACATTCCGCTAATACTTCTACACAAACTTCTTTTAAGTAGTTGTTCCAATCTACAACTGTATTATGATAAATCTCAAAGATGTTAGAAAACTCAGTCTGGGCGTTTTGAACTACGTACCATTTTGAATGCTCCTTTTCGTGCAGCATGTTGAAAGATTGCACTGCCAGCGTACTCTGTCACAAAAGGACAGTTTCGTTTCACGATTCTGATCGCATGTTGCATTCTTTGCCAATATACCTTTCTCTTGAAAAAAGAGACTGCATCTTCTACAGTTCTGGGTAAATCCCAAATTTGCATCTTTTTTTTAAAACAAAAACTAAGATGGAAGATAAAAGGAAAACGTGGTTTATTTTGAATGAATTCAGAGAGTAGAGGACATGGTCCCAAACGAACAGTCCCCATATGGTTGTAAGATAGTTGGCGGAATTCTACATTATATGGTGATTTTTCGCTTGCGCCTGGCTAATGGAAAAGTACCGAAAATTGTCACCAACATCAAAATGATCCCGTTTACTGCTCATCATACATGTCGTGTTTACTCTTCATAATAATGTCGCCAAATCCTGTGTGTACTGTATACTAGGATTAAACCAATTGTGTAAAATTTTGCACCAGTTTGTAAAACTGAATGCTTTGTATTTTCAAAGCAGATTTATATAGCTATGTCCATTTTAATGTTAACTTATTCATCAGAAGTTGAGAGACATGCATATTGCTGGTGATATACGTATACAGCATAAATATGCCTTTGTGTGCAATGAAAGCAAGTACTTGAGTTTCTTTTGCTATTATAGAAGAACTGATTTTAGATTCAATTTTTAAACAGATAATCATAGATTATAATCATGAAAGTTCTGCAAGGAAAAGAAGGTATTTTAGTTAGTAAAAAAACGCCAACAGGTTCTCTGCTGAAGTAAACCCCTCATTAGGCCTGTTTCGTTACTGTCAGAATCATGCCTCTGGAAAAGATGAACAAGTGTCTCAGGCGAAAGGTACTTGGTTTGCTAGAACCAAATGTTCTTCTGAGAAAGTTATATTGCAAGCATATATTTTTTGTCTGGTAGGACACTATGAGAGTGCTAAACTACACAGTAGCATTGATAATCGTGTAACTTCTGAAACAATCGGGGATTGGTATTCATACTGTTGCTAGATGAT